TAGATAGATAGATAGATAGATAGATAGATAGATAGATAGATAGATAGTATATATTCACTTTCTCTAGCAATAAAGTTAGTTTTCTTTATATAAGAGGAAAAAAAAATTGAACAATAATTTTTGGAAAAGGAACATATACCTTTTTGAAAACAATTTTAACGGGCCTTTATTTTCTAACGTATTTCGATGTAACTTGGAAGCAAATATTTAGGCTCTGCCACTCAGACGCGTTCTTCGTGTAAGTTGCGCTCGTCGGGTTGTTATGTAGCACTGCTGCCCTCTGGTGGACATTAGCTGTAAGGACACCAGCAAGAAGGCAGCTTTCTTCGGTTTCGGATAACAAAAAACAAACAAATATTAAATAAGAATAGCCCATTGAATGTCTAAAAAATGACCAAATCTGAGCTGTAAAGTAAAAACTGTATGATAGTGGTCAAACCTTCGAAAGTTTCAGTAAGTTTGTTCTGACCAACTCAAATAAGCGTGTTATCACTGCATATTTTCCTATATGCACCCTTTCAGTAGATATACATTTTAAGTAGCATACATTTATTCGTCATCCTCAAGATTTTTTTTATTCGTGCACCTCTGAGTTTGGAATGCAAGCTGGAACATTCAACACATGTAATCCATATCTTCTTTTTTTTCTTTTCTTCTTTTGCTAATTATCAGTCAGGGAAGAAACATAAGACGTGACGTTTTTATATGTGACAAGTGACTGAATCTGCTCAACCTATAAAAAGTTGTTTTTTTTTTTTAAGTCAGCAGTACCGTTTAACTCCAGTAGATGTCACTATCCAACTGCACAGGACACAGTGGGACAAACGAAACACGTCTATTTTGGGGGTGTTCAAGCAGAGACACATTTTTTATTTAATACATAAAAACAATAGAAATTTGTTCCTGCTCAATTTTCTTTTACTAACAAGAGAGCTGTTTACTGTACCAAATTTGCTGTTAAAAACAAATAAAAATCTTAATATATGAGCCGAAACAAATAAACAAAGAAAGAAAAACAAATCAAAAAGCACACATCCAGAGTTTTGGTCAGACTTGATGGAACATGGACTGGTGGTTTTACTCTAATTCATTGGCTGCGCACTGAATGAAACAAGACTCTATGGATGCGGGCCAAGAAGGACATAATGTGTCTGTGAAATACACAATGAGGCAAGGGGACTAACAATATTGCCAAAGATTTCGCAATCAAATATCAATGAAGCATGAAAAGCAATTATGTCTCCAGTGTATTTTGTGTTTTCCTTTTGGACAATATATAAACACCTTATTTAATGTTTTTAGTGACTCGATTACCCTTGAAATTCTGAAAGCTAGCCTTCAGACTTATCTATGAAAATATGAAAACGTTCAGACTTATTTGCATGTATTTAGATATTGACCATCACTCTGTGGTGTATTGTAGACACACAAACTATACGCTTTGAGGCTCCGGTCACTGGGGGTGGCTGGTCCTGGAGCCTTGTGGAGTCTGATGGCTGAGCTTTTTGAGACAGAAAAGGTCCACTGCAGCACATCATTCAGAGCTGCCTCCACTCATCTCAGACAGGAAGAAAATGGCTGTCCAAGATAGCGCTCTGCTTTCCTCCCACAATCGTGCCTGAAACAGACTCACAGCAGTTATTTTACTCCATGACACTGTTTCCACAGCAGCAGTTCCTTTTGGCTGAAATTCTGATGTTATTATGAAAATAATTATAACAATGTGAGCAAATAATGAGAGGACAGTCACAGTTGATCCCACTTTTCATATTTGGTTACACTGAACTAAAAAAGTGGAAGTGGGTTCAGGTTGCTGTACTCAAACTAAGTGGGATGTTTTGACTTTAACCTTGCGTGTTTTTACAGATCATGTTTTTGTCAGCAATATTAATAATTATGCTTTAATTGCATCTTCGTAAAATTGTTATTTTCCTTTGAACTTACTAATTGAGCATGTTAGCATTGTAGCAGAAGTGAAGGTGGCTAGCAGGCTGCACAGACCTTTGATACAAACCACATGGAAATAGGAAGGGCAAAACAAAACATGCTCTCATTCGATGAGGGAGATCAAGAATAATGAAGCTAATTTTAAGATTTCATGAAAAGTTGCCCTGAAGTCTCTCTTCCTCATCCCTTTTCTTCTGCTTTCGCTGCATCCTCATCAGTTCCTCCCTTTGTGTCTTTTCCTCTTGAGCCTCCTGTTGCTCAATTTTCCCCTTTCCCTTGCAGCACATTTGCCTCCCCCCCTTATTTTTTTTTTAAACTTCCCCTAGCCATTGCACAACATTCTACAAGGTAAAAAGCTCTTCTTTTTTGATTGACAGCACCCCTTGCACAGCCTGCTGTATGTGTCTGCGTGAGCCTTTGTGGGGTTGCATGTGTCTTGGCATCAACCTGTGTCTTTAAGGAATTTAATTGCAGCATTTGGTCTTCCCTCTCAGGGATATGGGAGCATGTGGGGGTGTGCTGCCCTATGTGTGTGCGCTTTAGGGGGAAACGGAGCAACAAAACCAGTCCATTGGTTGCGAAAGAGCTTCTGCACCGATCTGTCCAAGAAGCCTGGACACACGTTAGCACACACACACCCACTCACACACACACACGCACTCACACACACACACACATTCAGGCGCATTGGTTGTGTGTTGACTTAAGAGTTAATGAATGGATGATTGAGGGCTGCAGGGGTTGGGGAAGGCAGCACCGTGGAAACAACCCCTCTTTCCCAGGAAGGGAGCATATAAGTTTAGTTCGAGACAAAGAATGGGGTAGAAATGAGTGTCTTGCACCGGGAATAAAATTCAGATTGTGTGCGCAAAGAGCCAAGAGGGGCTTTGGAGCGAACTACTTGAAGCAGAGGCATTCGAGGCACTAATAAAGCAAATAACATGTACTTGACAAGGACCCAAAGGGAAAGAAAGAGGGAGAGAAGCAGCTGTTGGAGGAGGAGAGTGAGACAAAGAAGGAGCAGGGGGCTGTCCTTACTTGCTCTACACTGTGAGGACTGTTTGTAGGATAAGGCAGAGGGAGAGCAGGAGCCAAGGGGGGAGCAAGAAAGGAAAAGAGCAGTGAGCAGTATGGTTGGCATGTGAGAGGATAAATACATCTGAAAATTGCATTTCGCATAACTGTAAGCATCCTCGCTCGCCTCTCCTGTGCTGCACACCTTGGGCTGAGGGACAATGCTGAAGGGGTGGACTCTTCCCTGGCTCTGTGCTCTCCTTCTGGGGATGCTGGGGCTCCTGGCGTCCAGCTCGGACTTCAAGCATCACCGATACGAGGACATGGTGCGAGCCCTGTTTGCGGTGCAGATGGAATGCCCGTACGTCTCACGCATCTACAGCATCGGGCGCAGCGTGGAGGGGCGCCACCTCTACGTGCTGGAGTTCAGCGGCAACCCGGGCATCCACGAAGCCTGTGAGTTAACACCTGATTCACTGTTGGGCAGTAGAAAGTGTTTGGGCTTTTCAGAGAAAGAGAAACTGATCTCTGAGTGCATTTATCATTGAAATGGAAAGTGCTTTTAATGAATGTCTCATCATTAAGATTTTGGATTTGGGAAAGGTTGAAGTGGACCATATATGTATTTGACTTGATCGTGGGTTCCTAATCCGTTGGATGTGACAGCGGCTGCTCATTTGTTTTATACTTTTTGCTGTTAGGAGTGAGAACATAGCTGGCAGAAGACAGGGCAGCTTGTGGGGGCTCTGGTTTTGCCCTAAGGAGATTAAATGTAAGCTCTCAGTTTGGGCTTTATGGAGCTGAATAAATCTGTGGTTTAACAGTGAAGACAAAAACGAGGAGTGATTCCAAAGCTGGCGTCTGTGATAAACAAGCTGTGGAAAATCCAAAAAGAAGAAAGAAAAGGAAAAAGTAAAAGAACAAAGTCAACATCTGCGTTTCATTGAATTTTTTTTTGTTTTTTTTGCAATCATATTGCTGACAAAACGTGGAGTATTATTCTGAGTTTAGCAGATGACTTAAGGGGATCATTTTGAGTCACTAAGGTTAACCCTCAGCCCCTCCCCCTTTAAACCACTCACTCACTACTTCAGGTGTTTATTTTTCATTTTGGTTGCAATTTTGAACCCTTTATATGATTTTACATAATGCAATATCAGTAGCCTTGAATATTTTTTCCATTCTTGCCACTGACTTTTGTAGCTATTTGAAAAAATAGGCTGACAACTGTAGAATGCTTTTTTGGCTGTGGCTGAGATTGCATTTTTTCTTCCATGTCTGCACACGTAGGGGTTTCCTTCTGTAGAATAGAAGGATGTGTGCCTGTTCTGCTGCAAGGTTAGCAAGGGCAAAAAACAGGAACACTACTCTTCAAGTAGGGGAGTGACCCGAGGTTGAGTCTAGATCAACCCTGTTCTGCCCTTTTGGAAGTTCACGTCTTTAACATAGCTGCTGAGAGTTTGTGGGATTTCTTCAAAGCTACACACTGGAGCCATAACCGTTTTCTGAACTCTTGGCCAGTTGGCCCTGCGATAAAGAAAAGGAGGTGAACAGCACCGGCCAAGATGCCATTTGGATGCCTGAAGTAATTAGTGAAGGGTGTTGATAAATTTGGAAGTGGCTACTCAACCTTTCAACACCCCATCCCCCCCCAAAAAAACACTTCCCTCACTTTAGAGCAACAGAAATTCAATCTAAATAAGAACCATGTTCAGGTGGTTGGTTTAGCGGAAGATCACTTGAAACTGGTCTTGGGCAGTGGATTCATCCTGCACTTTCACCACTTTCTTGTCTTTGCTCTCTCTGCAGTTGAGTAGTGATTAATGGAAGGACTTTTGGGAGGAAGAAACCCTATACAGGGGGCAAAGAGTTTTTTTTTCTGTATTGGTAGTTCACATATACCCACAAGAATTCCAGATGACCTTAACCCAAATAATGCAATCAATTGTAATCAGACTCCCCTTTGTTGGAAGAGTGAAAGTACCCTTATCAAGGAATTAGCATGCTACCACAGTCATGCAATTCATTCTGGGGTCTTTCATTGTTCACAGATGAACAAAACTTCAAACTTATTATCAGTTATATCCAATTATACAGACAAATCATAACAGATACGTGTAAATGATATCAGCAACATTGACGTTATACCCCCTGGTTTCCAACTGACCATCCTCTGGAGAGGTTTTGGAGACACATTTGATGTGGACTGGGTGGGGTTTTTTTAAATTGAGAGGACTTTTGGCTAGTCTGTTTGGTAGAAGCCACAGTAATCCTAGTGTCACAGGAAAATGTGTAACAAACTGTCTAATAAGTAGAAATGTCACAACCCGTGGTTGACAAATCCAGACATCGCCCAAGATTTTTTTCTGTTGGGCAACAGTTAAGGAACATAATGGTAAACAGCAGAACCAGTGATCTCTTTTTAATTAATCTGTTTAAAATGTGCTTTTGTCAGAGAGCCTCACCATGCTTTTTTCCCATTTTTATTATCTCTGCCTATCTTGATTTGATTTTTCTTTCTTTTATTGTTCTGTGTGGGATTTTGTGACATAAGTTTATGAGAGATCTCTGAGAAAGACCACAATAGATTTACGGCTTTTAATCAAGATTATTAAGACTGTCCTTTTTAATCCAGTTTTTATTCGAAAACATTCTCATTAATCATGTTCAGTCAGGCTGCTTAATAACATACTTTAAAGCAAATCTACCAAACTCATAATCAGAGGCACATTTGAATTGCACATGGGTAAATGTCTACATTGGCCTATTCTTACACATTCATTTTAAATATTGAGCACAGCAGCTATGTGGGCTTTATAACCTCCTGCTTCCTCTAATTCTCTGTTTCCTCCCCCAGTGGAGCCAGAGTTCAAGTATGTGGGCAACATGCATGGCAACGAGGTGCTTGGACGAGAGCTCCTCATTAAGTTATCCCAGTTTCTATGTGAAGAGTATCGGGCTGGAAACCAGCGAATCATGAGGCTTATCCATGACACACGCATCCACATCCTGCCCTCCATGAACCCTGATGGCTACGAAGTGGCAGCCAGACAGGTAATGTAAACCTGAACAAACGTGAGCTGTTTACTTCCACGTGCGAAAGAAAGCCAGGAAAAATCTCCCATTGGGACACCTTCGGCTGCTTTTCTTGGGCAATCAGGGGAAAAAAATCCACACTATTGCTCTTTTTTTGCCACTGGAGTAGAAATGTTATGGTTCCTGAGTGAAACTAAACATTTGCATGTCAAATAACAGCGTGTCACTCACACTCAGTGCATAGTTTATATGACTTCATGCGATAATGCATATACTGTAAAGGCATCTGTTTTGATTTTAAATGAAAGGGTGTTTTAAACTTGGCTCACGATTGCAGATCATTTATCACCTCGATTTTTAATCGCCTGTAGTAATCTGAAAAAAACCCTCCAGTTTCCTTTTAGTGGTAACTGTCGACTGTGAAACAACAGATCACATGCAGCCTACTCTAAAACAAATGTGCACAATGTCTTTGGCACTATTTATGAGTCCAGAGGCAGGGAGCAGCACATGACGGATGACAATGTCTCTTTATGCCACTCAAAACTCTAATGCACACTGCCACGCAAAGTGTTATTTAGCAGATGTTTGGGAGCTGCAGCATCTGGACCACAGTGGTATGGCTGTTTTGCTTCTCTGCATCCTGGATTTAATTCTTTTGGTTCGGGTTAAGGATCTTGAGGGAGAACTAAAAAAGAAACAAAATATGTTTTCTCTTATGTTAAGGAACCAGTTTCACTTAAAACAGTTCAGAAAATGTATGTTTAAAGATAGTAGAACTATGTGACAAATACTTTTTGTGCAACTAATCCTTATATGGTTTGTGTAGGAAAGGGGGGATTAGTTTTCCTGAACTTAAAGAGAGAAACCTATTTTGGTATAGCTCGATAAAAAAGATAAAATGGTAATTTCAACATCCAACATTTCACAAACAAGAGGTTCCAAGGAATGAAACTGTAGCGAGGTCTAGTATTCCTGTGAAATGAATGCTCACATCAGCATAACATGCATGATGGTCTATTTACTTAAGCTTGCATCAGCTCCAATACTCTCTCTAAGATAGATCTTATCTCAGAAAGATAGTTCTTTTAGCACAGATAAAAAACAGCAGTGAGCAGGATTTTGCAGTAGGAATGCTAAAGTTTGGTCAGCAGAATCAGAGTTAAATCAATTGTAATAAAAAAGTACTTTCCATAGTGTCATCTCGTTCTTTCTTATGTTAAATTATGTTTTCATTCTGCTGCCTGTCTTGATTAAATTCGACTTGATTTTTTTGATCTGTGTTTTTTCAAAGCAAACAGACAAAGACCACAACTTTTCCTATTATTTAGATACACTGTTGCCAGGTTTTGCAACTTCCAACTTGCAACTAAACTGGTTTTGTGAATTTGTTTATTTAAAAACAGACAAAACTTGCAATTTCTTCTTTGCATAAACTTGGTGACTTTCCATTGAGAAGAATAACCTACACTTCCTCTAAAGTGCAGATGTCGCAGTCTGTCTTTAGTCTGCATCTTTTTTGGAATGCAAAAGCGGCATAAACTTTGTCTACGTAGATACATGAACTGCATATGTGACAACAGTATTGACAATCATGTATGATGGAAAACAGACCACCAAGTTACCGTGCACTATGTGAATGGGGGGGTAAGTCACTTCAAACTGTGTTTCATGGCAATATTGTATCTCACCTCCAACATAAAATGATGTTGCTGTTTATATTATGAGGAACTTTGTCAGCTAGAAGCTCTTTAGCGACTGTCATCATATTGATTTTCCTAAGATCCTTCCAAGGAATTTGTAAGTGTAAATACTAACCCCATAAGTCAAAGATAATCTTTGGTCGCCCAATAGCTGCTTTTGTGTTTGTGTGTCAACAGGGTCCAGAGTTAAATGGCTATCTAGTGGGTCGAGGGAACGCCAGAGAAATTGACCTGAACCGAAATTTTCCCGACCTGAATGCCCTCATGTACTACTATGAGAAAACCAAAGGACGAAACCATCATCTGCCTTTGCCAGACAACTGGGAGAAGCAGGTCAGTTTTCCTGGATAAACATAGCCAAAAGCTTGTGTCCATATCTGTTTCTCAAGTTTTTAACTGAAATAAGTGCAAATATATGTGTTTAAGATCATAAGTGGGTAAGAAAAAAAATGGGATATAGCTTATGGATGAGTGTAGTTTTCACTTGCATAAGGATGTATTGAATAATAATCAATCACAGCATAGCTTGGTTATCTTGGCCTTAACGTAGTTGATATAGGAAAATTGGTATGTTTTCCACAGGGTCAGATTCTATAAGCAGCTGAGCTCTGGATAGATTTATTGAAGCTGCCTTTAAATTCAAACAGTGAGTGTTGACCCCTCTTGGCTTTTTGCTTCATATTGTAAATGTTTATGGTGTTCTTTAATAGTGTGTTGGATAGATGTACTGCTTGTATTACTCTACCTAAAGCATTACCTAGAGTGCAAATATAAAATGAAAAAGACCTGTAGTTTGACAAAGCTGCAACTTAATTAAAAGTAATCTTTTAGTTGCCATTTATGTATTTCAAAAGCATATGTTTTCCTTAAATGGCTGATACTTTCACTTATATGCTTTGTTAATTTGCAATGAACAACTGTTGAAGCCCTGACTTTGTAATTTCCTCGTTTAGACAAGCAAAACCCTCAAAGTCAACTTGTCATAGTAAATATTATCCATCAGACCGACTTTAGGAGACACATGTCTTTGTTATAGATGGTTGAATGGCCCCTATAATCCAACATGTACATACAGTGACTTCAGGTCAATGAAGTGTGAAATGAACAGAGGAGGGAGATACGAGAGCATTAACTGTCTAACTGTTGGTGCCCGAAAGCACATCCCAAGTATTAAGGTCAGATCCGTGGGGGCGTCTCGACTGCTGTTGTCTTATCTTTGAACAGAGCTGTTGTTCATGCTTAGCTCCATGAACTTTCCCTCTCAACTGGTCTGGATGATGGAATGTTTCCATAAAAATAACATGTCCATCCGAGTGCTTAAAGTCAAATACATTTCTGAGAGTGTTTGTTTCCCCTCACATTTAATCATATTTGAATAGATTAAAAAGATGAGGGGGGCATTGCTTTGAGTAACATCGTAATGGTAATAGCTTTAGTGCAGTTCACACATGCTGAAGTGATGACCTTATTCAGTTCATGGAAGAGAAAAATCCAATGCATTTTTCAAGAGATCAGGACGCAAAAGGTTTATATTAGCCAAATAAAAATGGAACCATATAATTTAGGAACAAGACATGGATCCTTTCGGGTGGAAGTCTCACTCAAGTAGCTAATGTCCTTCATGAAAAATGTAAGCGTCTTACCTTTATTTCATTTGAGATGACTGCATATATGAATACAGTGATTGTAAGTATCATCTTTGAAAAGAGAAAAAGTGAGTGCTTGGAAGCTGGAGGGGTTTGACTGTAGAGTTTAAGTCTTTCACAATAAAAATGTGAAATATTCATGAGAGCTGAATCCAAAACACGAGTTTCAACATAGAAAAAAAAACTGGCAAGACGAGACATCAGGGCACTGCAATAACTTATTGGATCAAAACATTCTTTCCTTCACCTCAGATAAATGTACAAAGTTCTTTCTATTTTTGTTTCTGTGTTTTTTTCCCCTGCTAATTCTTTCGCTAAAAAAAGAACTCAGTGTTCATTGTAGGAACAAGGACTACAAGGCATATTTCACTCTTCTACAAATGTTGCTTTTTAGCTTTTTTTGACAAGAAAGCTGTATCATTTTTGTAAGTTTAATTTCACTACATTGGTTTTCCTCTTTAAGAAGGAGCAACAATTAACCCTCTTTTTCCCCATACACCCTTCTTTTGGTTGAAAAACTGACCTGACATGGAGATCTGTCCATTTGTGGGCTGTGTTCCCAGCCACATGACTGCTTCCTGACAGGGAGACACAACTGTTCCACTGTTAGAGCTGCTTCATTCATGCTGGTCAGGATGACTTTTCTGTGACAACATGAAGCCACAAGCCTTGTGCTAGCCTGCAGGCACACTCATGCTGCATCTAGTATTTCAGCCCGGTGATGATGTATCATTCAGAGGAGTTATCTGTAGTGAAAACATTTAATTATTTTTCTATACATTGTGTCAGTCTGTACTTAGTTAAATGCCTCGAGGTTTTCAAAGGGCTGGTTGAATTTTTATTCCTAAACAAAAATGTGTAACATTTAATTTCACTTTTCTAGAAAGGGTGAGGGATGTCTAGTCATTTTGTCCTCAAGAGTAAACTCTATCTTCATTGTGAATCACATACTACAACCTGTCCACAAGTCCAATTTAGATTTTTTTTCATACAGATTAATAAAAATACTCAGAATACAACATCCCTGCACAATTGGACCAGTGGACTTGTCCAGTACAAAGAAAATCCAAACTGAGCCACACAGTGAGCCACAGTGTGGATTAGTATGCATTCAAGACAGGATAACATTCTACATGTGATTTTTTTTTTAGATCTTTCAACATAACTTGTAACTGTGGTGACAGCTTTGACTTTAAAGTGATATCCCATGGTATTAAAGGGAGACAACTTGCAGCTTGGTTACAGCTGCTGTTCAAGGTCAGTGGGCACTGATCAGCAGACTGTGTTTATTGCCCCACATACCGTATTCAAGGAGAGGTATTATACCCTGCCTCCTAACATGATGTACAGCTCAGAGTGTGCGGGAATTGTTAGTACTGACAGATAAAATAAACAACAGGCCAAAGTGGAATTTCAAGGCTTGGTAGCTGCTATGTTTCTGTCAGCTTATATTCAACCATGAAATGTGGGCTGTTTTACCGGATGCCTAGTATGATTAATTAAAGAGGCTTTAACATATTCTGAACAGAGGGGGTTGGAGGAATACTGGTATTCTGGTATAATATCCGTATAGAAATAGGTGTATGTCTGAGCAGAAAACCTTTTTTTTTTCAGATAAGAGGCCAAGAGGACCCACTAGTGATTCTTGTGTTAAACGTACAGGCTGCTAGATAGTGATTGTCTTGCGATGCAAAACACATAAGGACGTAAGAACTCCCAACAGCAACGTTTCACAAAAAATCAATTCAGAAGACAGAAAGCAGAGTTTTTCATTCAGGTATATTTTTTCCCTCAAGCAACTAAACAGAAGGTGTCACAAAGTTCAACTTTGGCTTTCTCAATGTTTTTGTGTTTTCTGAACCAGCGGGTATGAAAATGATGAGGTGCAAAACAGAGGAAACCTGGTAGTAAACCTGGTTCAAGTTCACTAAGTTTGTTCATATAAAAGTTACATTGTATAAACCTTTTCACTGCTGTTCTTTCACAGGTTGAACCAGAGACTGCAGCAGTCATAAAATGGATGCAAAACTATAATTTTGTCCTGTCAGCTAATCTTCACGGTGGAGCCGTGGTGGCCAATTATCCCTTTGATAAATCAAGAGACCCTCGCATTCGAGGCAGGACCACTTATGCAGCCACTCCAGATGACAAAATCTTCAGAAAGGCATGTGGAAGATAAGAAATTCTTTCCAGATGTTAAACATGTCACAGCTCACCGCTGCTGTTGTGTGTGTGTAAAGATGTGGATGTCTGGACTCACGTGCCTTTGTATGTGATGACAGTTGGCAAGGACCTACTCATACGCTCACAGTTGGATGCACAAAGGCTGGAACTGTGGAGACTTCTTTGATGAAGGGATCACCAATGGGGCCAGCTGGTACTCTCTGTCCAAAGGTTAGCAGAACCAATGTGAGATGAAATTGTATAAAAACTAACTCACTTAAGCCATTTATCCATGCTCTATTATCTTTTTTCATTTTAATGAGAGTGGAGTCTATAATATGTTAAATGTAAAAGAAAACTATGGTCTGACACTAAAATTTTTTTTTTCCAGAATTCCCAGTTCATTTCAGTTCAATGGCAACTAAAAGCTTTTTGCTGTTATTAGCTCGCAGTGTAATACTGTAAGACTGCAGAAAAGGCGTGCCCTTTTAAAACATTTTTTTACAACATACCTCCGTTTTATGCAGAAGTGACACCTATATGGATATATATTTTTCATTGATTTATTTAATTCGTTTTTTGGACATTTGCTTTAGTGTTCTTTTCTTTTTTTGTAATTTACAATAACATATGTTTTGCGATGTAAGAGTGATGTAACCAGACTATACCCAGACCAACTCTTAGCCAGAATGTAGTTACTATGTTAACCATATCTATTTTTCATGAGAGCAAATTATGCATACCCAGAATTATTCAAGAAATATTCTCCAGTGGCATAAAAGCACCAGCTCAGTAGACAATAGAATCCCTGCTTTGGAAGAAAAAAGGAAACGTGGAGCACACATAGAGCAATACTACATTAAGTGATGGTACAAATTCAACTTTGGGAAGAACAGGGCCACATTTGCACATTGGTGAACATCAAAACAGCACCTTTAAGTCACAGAAAGTCATTTAATGGAGTCTAATTGAGTGATGGTTAGTTAAACAGCAATAGGAGCAACTGAATCACTCTCACAATGACCAGCACCATTTGTGTACTCTGAAACAAACAGAATGCTGTCCAAAACAACAGGCTGTATTTTCCATTGATTTTATATGTCAGGAGCAGTTCAGATGTAAATTGCAAGAGCTGGATTTTCTTTTTAGCGGCAATCTGACTGAGAAGCTGCGCAAAAGTAAAGATAATGACTGTGAAGTATTTAAAGACACTCTTGATGAGTCCTACAATAAAAACATAGTGCTGAAAATGAGCATAACAGAACAGCAGGTCAGATCTCTTTGTTGTAAGCACCATAAGGCACAAAACTGATTCACTGCCTCACTACACACAACAGATTGGTCCCTGTTTACATGCAAAATTCCCTTGTGTGCTGGAGGATAGCCATTATCATTCCTGTTCCAACAAACACAACACCACCTGCCTGCCTGATAGAGGGTGCTTTGCTATGAATGAAATGCCTTAACAGGCTTGCAAGGCAAGCTTCCCCCTAATATCATGAACTCACCAACAGGCCTTTAACCTCTTCACCTTGTGCGCACCAACAGCTGAACAACCACTGACCTCTTAAATTTACCTCCACAGGTGCATACGGGTTAGACATCCAAAGTAACTTAATCAAAGTTGATTAAAAGTGAACAGTCGCCTGGAGAGTTTCTACTTACAGCGCAGACTACTTCAGTGTTTGGTGAATGGTCATTGAAACTTTAATGAAACTGGATAGCTCTTTGGCTCTTTGTTAAGATTAACAACTTACTTGAGTATTGCTGCTGCCCCAACAACAATAGTATTGTCCCTTAACACATGAAAAGGTTGGCTTTCATTGGATTCTAAACTTCTTTCTACAATTTGATACGACAGACAAGTTTCTATTTTGTGTGCTCATTGGACAATCACATTTCATCCCATTCCTGAAAATATCATTATCACATTGCTCCTGTGTTTTTTAGGCTTTCATTCCTACATGGGATGGGGTTTTTTGGCTCTCCAGTAATAGGGGGGATTGGCTACAAATCACAGGGCAGACATTTTAAACCCCTGGCCCCTCCATATGAATGTGTTTGTGTGAATGGGGAAACAAGACGCACACTGTAAAGTTCTTTCGTAACCCGACTAAGGTGGAAAAACACTGTACAGTAAATGTTGACTGTTTGCTTTTGGCTACAGAGACAAGGAAGTGCATAACTATGAAACAGATATCCCCTCGGTGTTATTATCCCATACCCTCAAAAAGTGCAGTCACATCATTTTCAGACATGTAGATAGAAATAAGCTACTTTTTTTCTATATGTATTTTCAAACTTCTAAAACATAGCTGCAGCCATAACATTGCTGCATATCCCAATTTGTCAGCAGCTTTTATACTGTTTAAACACAAATGACTCATCAGTGTGTAATTAAGGTAACATTCACCCTCTGCTCTATGTCGTAGCTCATTTGTACACATGCAGATTATGAGAGAGAGACTCTTAGGAATTGCTGGATAAAAGCTTTTTTTTATTTTTTTTTTATTTAATGGAAACCACATCTTGTTTTTGATGTTTTCATGAAAATTTAAAGTGATGTTTTGCTCTGGAATTCTCAGAAATTGCAAATGTTCTTTAAACTGTCATGACATTTTTCAGCCCAGGGAATCCATAGCTGCAATGACAATAATACAGACTTCTTTGATCCGTCGGCCCTGGTCTGGGTTGGTTTGGTTTCTTCATTGAAATGTGAATCTTTAGAGCTTTTCGGTTGAATCATACAAGCTTTTGAATTGGATGAAAATGGCCACAGTCTAATTTAGAGGGAGAACGTTATGTTTATTCTAGTGAGTCATTTTGCTCCAAGTGTTGTGTCATGGTCTATGAGGTTTCATTTGATCCTGCCATCCCAGCCCTGGACTCATATGCATTAGCTTTTGATGAGAAGTGGGGCTTTATTGTAAATGTTTGCATAGCTACTTCCCCGAAACAAATAGGAACCTAAAAGCTTCGATCTAAATACATGAAGTGTTTTGAAAGAAGGAAATTATTTTCAGGTGGCTCAGTGAAAGCTTAGAGCTTCTGATAAGTGTCAGATATCTGATCAACCCTGTGTGTTAATGAAAACCTTTTTATAGACCATATGTTCAAATCCAAAGTGAGAAAAAACATTTGATAGATTTTTCCCACAAATGTGTTTCTACAGGCATGCAGGACTTCAACTACCTGTACAGCAACTGCTTCGAGATCACACTGGAGTTGAGCTGTGATAAATTCCCTCCAGAATCAGAGCTGCCCAGAGAATGGCTGGGAAACCGAGAAGCCCTGATTTCATACCTGGAACAGGTCAGAGCAGAGAATAATAATTATTAAGGAGAGGATACACATTCTCACACAATTACAAAAGAGAGTGCAAAGTTCCTGAGCTGACCCTTAATTCTCAATATTTTGTAATTCATGGTGTTTTGAAGAAACTCATACTGAGATTCTCAGTGTTTACTTTTGTATTTATTTTACACATGCAAAAATACATTTGTAGTGTGGAATTCTGTTGGATGCAAATAAGATGATTTTTACTTTCTATCAGCCCCCTGGCTAATTAGATTTTATTTGCATCTACAAAGAGCTTTTATCCCAGTGACTTATTAAACTCACAAGAGAGGGCTCAGAAATGTATGTTTTCCACACCACTGATCAAACAATGCAAACTGGAAGGGATTGCGGTTTGTGGAAGGTTAATCACGTCTAATACTTTGGAAACTTGGTTGCTCAATGTGATTTATGGCCCGATATGATTTGATTCTACGGCACTGTAATATACAGCTATCTGTGGGCCAATATAAGCACATATTTTCCATTCAACTTTGGACGATGCAAACTCAGGGACTTTTAGAGACAGCAGTGACCGCAAGAAGAAATGATTACGCCGAATTGCAACTGGAACATTCCTCCCTTTTCAGGTACATCATGGAATAAAAGGCATGGTGTATGATGAGAACAACAACCCCATCAGCAACGCAGAGATCTCAGTGTCGGGCATCAATCATGATGTTACCACTGGTAAGGCCATTTCTTGAGGACAATCATCTGTTCAAAGAGTTGGAAAGTAAGATAGATTTGTGTGGAGCATACTGCACTAATGCACTGGACAGTGGTACAGCGGGTGGGGGTGGGTGGGGAGAGGGGGGAGCAGGATACATACATGAAAAAGAAAAACCCACTCAGAAAAAAAAAAACCCGAAACTGTTCAAATGTCTGTCATGTATTTGTGTAAAAATAAATAGTCATGGAAAATGTTGCTGTATTGGAGGAATAGCCCAAATTTAGTTTCTTTAAAGTGAAGCGGTCAGTCTTCTTGCTTGAATGGAAAACATCCTCCCTCTGTTGGTCAAATATGGAAACACACCAGAAATATTCATTGCTTTTCTTTTTATTAAACATTAAAACCCTTAAACAATTTTTCATGAAGAGGGGACACTTTTACCGTTATCATAAGTGTGTTCTTCATTATGTTGTGTTAGAATATTACCTACATCTTGTGTGCTCTTGCAGGTGTGGATGGCGATTATTTCAGACTTCTACTGCCCGGGACCTACACGGTGACGGCCTCTGCACATGGTTACCTTCCATCAACCAGATCTGTCACAGTGGGACCAGCTGAGGCCATACAGGTTTGTCCCTAGAGGATGCTTGGGTCTTATATGAGACACATCTTGCACTTTTGTATTGAATATATGTACTTTTAAAATATCTTACACATACTTATCTCTCTTATAAATGCTTCTTACATCTATGATTCTCTATCTCCTCCATGGCAGCTCCATTTCTACTTAAAAACAGCTCCAAAACAAAGTCTGAAAGGGAAGCCACACAACAGCAAGAAGAACCTCTCTTCCCACAAGGCCCCTTTGAAGCTCGGCCCGAGATGAGACACGGACAGTCATTCAGTTGTCTCCCAAATATAAACTCACACAGACAAAAGGTCTCACATTAAACATTCACATATATGAATTATGTAAATGATAAAGGTCCACCATATATCTTTGTAGTTTAGGGAAATGTGTGTCAAACCTTTGTTTGTTTGTTGTTGTTGAGATAAACCGTCTCTGTTAAAGAATCTGTGCAAGCTGGTGTATTTAAGTAACAGTGTTGATATGTATGAACACAACAACTTTTTTTGGTTTTGATTACAATAATTTGATAACAGTTGTAAAATAAAATAATGACTGTTTTTAATGCTGTTGTTTTATATCTCTGTGGACTGGAGCTTGACCAACTGGGTTAGATGATAAAGAAATAAAAAGGGAATATTCTGAGAATATGTCCTAAGGTAAGCGGACCAGGTGAATCAACAGCAAACTGAAAACTGGGTATGTTACAGTAATAAAACCAGAGTGCACGTGAGCCCAAACTGTTCAAAAACAAAACAGGATGCAACATGATCAAAGAACAGCACACAACAGATGACAAAATGGAAAAGTGGAGCAGAGAAAAATGTACCCAACCAGACCACAAATGTTGTTTTAAAAGCTTTACAGTCATGCAACCTTGAGATGCTCTAAAATTTGTTTTTGGGAAAATCACACAACAACTCGCATCAGACTTAAAAGGTACAAAAATACTAATGAGGCCCCAGATAAGAAAGTTGAGCATTTTTCGCCTGTCTGTAAATGACCAGCATGGAAAAGTACACTAATATGTGCAAACCTTTCAGGCTACAAGCAGATGTCACTGTTGCTTAAGCAAAAGGGTATTTAGTCCCTCTTTTGTGTAAAACATGACATCTAATCCCCAATCAACAACTCATGCTGCACAAATGCTTGGCTTGAGGAGAGAAACCAGTCACAGACCTATGTCCTTTTTATAGTTTGAGGATTTTAAAAACATTTTTATTGTTGAGCTTAAAAACAAGGTGTTTGATGACTCCATATCTGGTTCTACCATGTTGTGGTAGGCACTTGGTACTTTAATATGATGTATTGGATAAAATATACTTTACTTAGTGTTTGACACTTAATTCAGTTATGTTCTACAAATTTACTCTAAAAAATGTAAACTTCACCAGATGTGGAGAAACAAGACCACTGACTGTACAGCTTTTTTTCCTGTGTCAATGATTTACGTAGAACTAACACAAGTCACAAAACTGGGCCTCAGCTTCCTGAAGGTGACAGTAAAAGATGTTGTTCGTGGTGACATCATTATGATAACAACAACCTACCAGCAATTATATTTTCTCCTTCAACATAAACACAGATCTCTTCTCTTTTTTTTCCAACACTCAAAACCCCTACATGACAACAATAGGTCATCAGTGACGCACAGGAAAGAGGAAAAGCGCACTTTGCTGGACGGTATAATAAATTCTGATAGCTCTACGAAGTCATACATGGAGACCCATAGAAAACATTAAATACGAGATTATAAATATTGTAAGTAATGAAGCATCCAACCCAACAGCTGTGCTGTAAGTTGCCAATTTTGGTCATTTTAGAATGTTTAGTATTGAAAAGAAAAAATACAAACCTCAAAAAATGTGTCAAGCAAGTTGACATTAGCGATGCATCATCAAGTATGATATCACCACAAAACTGAGTCATGATCATTCATGATTTATTCAGTTTTTGACATCAGTTCTGCTCAGTCCATTAACTATGATAACTGAAGACAACTGTTTTGTCTTTTTGCCCACTCAAACATATTCTACCACAGCTGATGTCTCTCATGGAAAACACAATGGGACAACTGTATAATTTGTCCAGAGCGCCACAGCAACACTAGACTGGTAGTGATAATGAAAGACAACAATAGACCCACATACTGCCCTCAGATGAAAGTGGCTACTGTGAGGGGAGACAAAGCCAGCATTTCACCGGGGTCTGGAGAGTTCCCAGCTCTAGTATGTATGAAGGGCATGTGTGCGTGTGCTCACGAGAGGATGCACCCTCATTTATGTATACTTGGCCCAATGTGGCGTCAATGAAGCCCACCAGACGACAGTGCCAGGTTTCCACCCACAAACACTGACTCAGAGGTGAGGAGGAGGCTCTGTGACTCCGAATCATAAAATAATTTTTCTTTCTTTTTGCCTTCCTGGAAGTTGCATGAAAAAACCCTGTGTTTTGACATGTGACCAAGATGTGTAGCGATGAGCGTTATAATTTTAGAATAGACAACTTTGTACCATGAACTTAAACTTCAACCTTTTGGTCTCATTCTGATTGAGACCTTTTATAATGAAAAGGACTCGAGGTTTACTTTAATGTAACAAAACAATAATATCAATAATTTACATCTCCAGAAAATGTACCATGTATTTGTAAAAGTGAATCTCTTTTGGTGCATTCGTGTGACCTCTATATCTTTTCCTTTTCCTTGCCTGATTTTGAATGTAAGTGCATCCAGCTGCCTTTGTTTCCTCCTATTGTTCTGCACATACGAGACCACATATGAGGAAGCTGCCATTCCTGCAGACACAGCAAATACTGGGTTAAATGTTTCATACCACAACACCCAGTTACCAGCACACAAAGACTGGTACCGAACATGAATTCCTTATGGAGCAGTTTGAACTTCGCATATGTGATTTAATCATCTCCTTCTGACAAATTGAGGGGAAAGCCAAGAAAAAGAAAACTATTTAAGGAAACTTATTTTAAACTCTGCAGACTTTTTAAACTTTTACTAACCTGCATAAAAATTATTCTAACTTAATAAACAGCTCATATAATAAAAAAAACCATAAGAACCCCTACATGAAAAATAATAAAGAAAACACAAGTTCTAAACTTAGATCATGTCACTTCCTGAAACTGCTGTGAGCATGTTCTTGAATGGTTGGTGTGGATACCCAAGCATGTCCTAACTTGCATGGAATGAGGTAACAAATGGAAAAATGGCCACACACTAACCTTTTGCTTTGTGCCATCGTTTTGAGAGACTTAATAAGATTTATTTCTACCCAGTGTCGCATTCATTTTTCAACAAGATCTTGTATTGATTTGGGGGAGAACTTTTTCAGGTGGATGGTGAGTATGATGGTGTGATGTGGGGGTTAGAGATAAGTTGGGAGGAGAACGGGCCATGGATGAGGAGATGGATGTTACTGGGGGAAGCATGCCCCCCCAGATTTAAATCTTTACACTCTCTATGCTTTTTCCCTGGTTAGCCTCTATTTTCCACTTTTATTGTTTGGCTACACAGTCTCATCTCCTGGAGTTGCTTTGCAATGTGGAAATGCTCTTTCTTTCTCCATTATACACAGCCATGACTTCGACTGTTGGTTTTCTTCCATCTGATTTCACCAAATGTCTAAGTAATCGCTGGTCCCATTTTTCCAACCACATTTCGTCATCGAGGACCATGCTTCTTCCAGTTTTTAATCATACTTTGGACAGTTCTTAACCTCAGTTAGTCACTGCTGCACCCTACTTGTCATGCCTGCTTGATGCATGTAAACAATTTTCACCTTTCTAAAACAGACTAACACTTTTTTTCACGACCACAGGATGTGTCTTTTGTTGCAGAAATGAGAAGCTGCTCATAGAATGAGGCAGAATATTTGAAACATGGCCTTATAGCAGGCCCTGCAGATCACAACATGAGGAAATTCTTTTTTTTTCTTTTACCACGGCATACATACAACTTATCACTTCAACAGTGATGACTTTGAAAAAAATAATAACTGTGAAGCTACTCTAGTACTGCACCCCCATACCTCCACTGTTTTCCGTCTTTATGGAGTGGCGTTCAGGTCTTTTCAGTCAGGCATGTGACGGGCCAGCCCGCGGGCCGCTCAGAAAAGTGGGTGGTGTTGTTGTGTGTAGGCATGGAGAGACGCAGCGCCGCTCGGCTGGGCTGACCCCGTGTCTAACGTGATGACAGCTGACTGCACCGACAGCCACAGAACAGCCACAGTCAGCCGGGACCGCCGTGACTCTTTTCCTCATCACGCGTTCTTCACCTTGGCGCCGAAAGAAAAGCAGTTCTGCCCGCGAGCGATGAGTCCGCGCGCACCTTAAAGAGCCGAGGGACGTGGGACGTGTAGCTGCCTAAAAAAAAAGTTGTGTGTCGCTGAGAGGGAGCCCCCGCCGCCAGCACACCACATCAGCAGACTGAAGAAGTTGGATATCTAGTCTGACTGGATCTAACGGCCTGATCCTGCATTTTCTACAGTCCAGCCAACCAGTTTATAGGTAAGAAAAGACCGAAAATGGCAACAACTTTTAACGGTTGTTCCACCGGGTTCAGAAGAAAAAAAAAACACCCCACAGAGAGATGAAGAATCTACACGTTTGACTTTGCAGTGGTTTGCTGTGACAGAAACACTCGATGTTAGACCTCCATCTTCCAACCTTCCCTTTAATTGAACTGACGATATTCGAGCTGCATTTTTGCTCTGTTCCGGATGAATTTTCCCTCTGCAGGAGTCGTCCCCCCCCTCTCCGTGCAGCCAGCGTTAGCCTGAACCCTCAACTACTAACTAGACCAACCGAGTACTGACGTGAGCTGACTGGGAGATGGCATTGAACACCAGGGCCGCAGACCAAACAGTCCGCCTGCTGTGTGGCGGCCAGCTGTGGTCAGTTGTTCCACCGTGTGAGGCAGAGCTGCAATTTTCTGCCTCCACCCTAACCCCCCAACTTTAAGGGCACTTGTCTAAAACTCAGTCTAAGCACGTCTCTGTGCAAACGGTGGGTGTCTGACATAGGGGTCCATTATTTGTCTCCCCAGAATCAGAATAAGCACACAGACTGGCAGTGCACACACTGTGAGCTCTGTGGGGTGCTGAGCTGGTCCTGTCTGAGGGATGCTGTGAGATGCTGAGCTTGTTAATGAGCCACTAAAATCTTCTCTGTGTATTATGTTTGATGCAGCATATGTGATGATGCTGTCTGTCTGCAAAAGCTTGCTGCTTCATATGATTTTCTGTGTTGATTTATGCTGTAACAAGCACTGTCTGGTCAGTGGCTTTGACATTACAAACCACTGTTCTGCATTTAGTGACTCTTTAAACATTCAATGAAAAATGCTGATCAAAATATGTCTATAAGCATGTAAGCAGGTGATTCTTCTTCTTCTTCTTCTTCTTCTTCTTATTATTATTATTATTATATTATCTTAGTGCTGTCATAACATGGTATCAAAGCATACAGCACAAACTGTTTGTCCCGTCTTTACATTTTTTAATTTGAGGAAAGATTCTCATGATAACACAGCTTGCACTGTTACTCATGTTGTTTCATGAGACCATCTTAAGTCATCAAGTCAGACAGGATGAAGGTGATCTGAGAATTTTAAATCTTTAAAGTGAAAATGAAAGAGAAAACTGTCATTTGGATGGGATTTAGTTTCCACCCCCTTACACATAAGTTGGGCTGCAGCTTATGCATGCTTGAATTTGTTCTCAGTGGAATGTAGCCCTCATTAATAAACGTTTAATGTCTTTGTAGTGCTGATATTAGGCATGCTGATGTTCAGATAATGGTATACAGTATATCTACATTTTGTTCAGCCATAGACGTGAATAAGCACAAAGAGGTGAGCTGTCCCTGTATAAGGGAGACATGTTTAGTACAGGTTAACCTGGAGTTATAGATCATGTTATGGTTAAATCCCAAAGCTTCTCATGCCATCATACTTCACAGCTTTGTGATCACACACTTTTAAAGAGTATATTGCTTTAGTTTGATAGTTTTAACAACACAAAAAATAGATAAATAAAAACCTATTTGTGACTTTCTGCATTTGAATGTTTCTTTAAAAAAAGTCCAATAGGGAGGTGTCATCCACACACATCAGCAGTGAACTCTTTTGGATTTTCCTTAAAGCATCCACACTGCAGTGTGTTTGGTGGCTTCTGCCTTTCTGCTGCATTGTTACACAACTTTGGCCTTAGCTCATACATCTCTCAAACTTTTTTTTTTTTTTACAGGATCCAGCGTCCTCTGTGTGAAAACACTGTTCCCCAGAAAATGCACTTATACCCCCACCCCACACCCCACCCCATCTGAGTCACACACATCTTCGTTGCTCTGAGACCACTAATGAAAGGTTTTCTTGGCCGGGCTTTAGTGTTCAGGGAGGATTTTGGGTGCACATAGGTGTCTCTGTTGTTGAATTATTGAACGCTAGTTACGGTGTTGTGTGTCACCGCGTAGTGAGTTAGAAACGTGAGACGTTTGTGTACATTTGTATTACATGTCAGAACCAGCGTACAGGACCCGTCCACATAAAC